TAACGAACACATACGTATTCATTACAAACGATTCCATGACAACTTACAAGGACATACTAATACACTTATAAATGACATGGCCACTACGAATATGCCCGGTAACGTCTGTAGGAGACTGAAGAGGAGCTGGATGAGAGACTTCCTCGCCTAATGTAGATATCACGCCGAGTGAGGTGCGGCTGGGCACTGATCCTCCTCATGCCTTTCATGACAATTCTATTAATCAATCGATCTCGCATTCCCTGGTTGTCATTAGCATTATGACAGGTGTGAATAAAACATTAAAGCTAAAAAAAAAAAAAGCTAGAAATGTTTCTTTAACATAAGACAGTAAATGCGGGCTTCCCTAGCAACGTTCCTAGAATCATCGAATGGAATGTACACCACTGAATTCTCAGACTGGCGTCTGGTGTCTGCGGAGTGTTTTTCATTTTAATTGTATTTTTGATATTAAAGTGAAAAAACAAAAAAAAAAAACATTCCTTAACAAAGAAAATAAGCTGGCTTTATTACTAATATTAAATCACATTGAACATATATTAATAATTATAAGAGGCTTAGAAAATCCGAATGTTCGATACCGACGCCGCCACTCGCCCTTAATAATAAACACAATACGTAATATGTAATAATGTACATAATATAAATCCAATTCCGCCTTAATAATATACATTATATAAGATGGCATTAATATTATATATTCGTACACACACACACACTGATATATATATATATGGTTTATAAATATATAGTTGTATCTTCCTCCAACTATATTAGAGATGCTCTACTGTTGAAAACTTAATTATTGTTTAATAAGCTTTAAGTTCACAGGGGTGCATGCCGCAAGTCACGACAGCAAAATTGTTGAGGGGGCATATTTTGACGGATTTTTGAATGTTTGAGGATTCAAATTTCGACGGGGTTATGAATTTTCGGGCTAAAAGATAGGGAGATAATATGGAATAGAATGCACAAAGTGTAATGATGCATTGTATAATCTATATGATCTACTATTTTTTTCAAATTCTTCATTTGCTTACTCTGTTAAAAAAAAAAAAGTGAACAATAAAATATATTTAAAGGGGCACGGGAAAGGACAGGTCTTGCGCCATCGACCTTGGGGAGAGGGGTGGGCACCCCTGAATTTTTCATATTAATTAGGATGAGGTTATTAACGAAATAAGTTGAGATTAAAATGATGACAATAAATAAATTATTGCAAAGCTTTAATATATTTTTTCACATGACCTGGCACGTATTATAATGAACATGACTGCATAAATACACATTTTATTTACAGCAAAAAAACAAGAGTAAATATTATGATCATTATAGATATTAATTATTTTTCAAAATTAAAATAATTTTGTAATTTCTAACAAAACTTGAAAGGAACCTCAGCTGATTTCGTAATAAGCCTCAACTTTATTACTATCGCATTAAAGCTTATTTAATCAAGCACGTTTTTCTAAAAGTGGATTATCTGTTGTATAGTTTTATGCTGATTACAAAAATAGCGAATAATTAACAATTTTTTTTACAACAGAAATTAGCTTAGCTTAGTTCCTCAAAAGTCCTTTTTAAATGGTTTTACTAATGATAAATTCTATTTTAATTTTAAGTAAATTTTGTCTTTTTTACTGTGAAGCAATCAATGATTACCTAAATATAACACATTTTTCTAGTAATAATAAAAACAACTTTTTTTGTTGTCTATTTCTATTAACCAAAAACGTGACACAAAAAAAAAAATTAAATTTCCTATTTTTCTTCAGAAAATCAGACTATGGTTCATTTGTACTTTTTTTGTAGCTCTTGAGCTACTCCTTTAAATATTTCTCTCTACTTACGGAACAGCTTTTATATATATAAATAGATTAATAATTAGCGCATTATTAATTTCAAAACATATGCTATTACCAATAACCAAAAATTATCACTTCCATTTGAACCTGTGATTCTGTTCATCTGATAAAATGATAAAACTAAATAATTATTTATAGTTAATTGATGTATCGATCCAATTAATTATTTTGATGGTGAGCATCTGTTCCCAATGTATCTCGATTTATTTTATGCCTTTCCAATTTTAAGCTCTTCTCCAATGAGTCAGTATAATTGTGTAAATAAAATTTGTTCCTCTAATAACGACCTGTATTTATTAATTGTTTTCTAACAATTATTATCGACAATAAAAATGCATTTACTAAATGAAATATAACTTCAGAGTAGTGTGAAGTGTTATTGTCAATCTAATCCATGATTTGAGTATTCATTCTCATAATCTAGTCAAAATGCCAAACAAAACTGCTGAATAACTTCGCAAATAATTAATTGGAAATATTCCATTTTTGAAATAATAATAATTATAAAAAAATTCAGAAAACTTCAATGACGGAGCGATTTACACTTTCTGAACAAGTCTAAGATAGAGACACATTTTTGTCAAATTATTAACATCCGTCTAAATACTACCCGAATGGATTCATTCTTTCGAAACCAGCAACTGTTTTATCGACGAAAAATCAGAAATGGGACGTTTTATCATTAAATTAATCGATCTAATTAGGTACTGAGGTAGGTGTTAATCTAAAACTATGTATACACAATTGATTTTCACTTGAATATATTAAGATTTACTTGTTGATTTGATCACAAAAACGCGGCCTAAAAAATGTTTGTTTTTGTTTTTTGTGGTTTTAAGGCTTAAAAGTCAGTGTCATCAACGCCTGTAAATTAATTTTGTATATCTCCGCAATTACATTTTTAAGATTTTAAATTTTTGTAAGCAAATCGTTTGACTTCAAGAAACCTAACACTAACTTTATTGTGTCTTCGTCATCCCTCAAAATATTTGCTATTGGAGGTGTAAGTCCTAAAATATTTAGACTCGATACGCAAAAATGACACTTCTGTAAAATCTGGCTGACTGTAAGTGTTTAATTGCATTGTTGACATTGTGGTGGTGGCTGTTTAATAATGAGTTAGGTCGGTGTGGTCTATTCTCAGTCTGGTCAAGACAACCTCTTATCTTTAGCTTGGCGGACTCTCGTTTCACATAGATTGCCAGCTATGAGTAATTTCTTTTTTGAGGGGAAGACATATAAGACCCTGTAAGACCTATAAGACCCTGCTGTGTTAAAATGGCAGCACACCAGCCTGGAAGGGTAAGCGCTTGTTTCGCTGCTACATCCGCGAGCTGATTTCCAACGATTCCCACGTGGCTCGGTAACCAAATAAAGCATACCGATTTTCCTAGAGTTTCTAGCGTATTTAAATATTTATGAATTTTTAAGATGGTTGGATGGTTCGGGTATAAATTATTCATTCCTTTTACAGAACTTAGAGAGTCAGTTATTATTGTAATGTTTTGGGGGTTTATTGTCATAGAAACGTGAAGGCTGAGGCTATTGCATGAATTTCGGTTGTATATATACTGCAGATATTATGGAGTTTTAATTTGTGAGTCGAATTATGGGTGACATAAGAAGACGCTGTAGATTCGTCCGATTTAGATCCATCAGTATAGATCAAATACGATTCTGATATTTTTTGAAGGATACGTGAAAATTTGGTTTTATACTCAGTTGGAGAAGTTTCAGTTTTTTGTAACCGTGTTAGGCCTAGGATTATTTTAGGAGGTTTATTAATCCAAGGAGGGTCATGTATTTCTCGTTTGATTAGAGGTATTCATTTGAGAAATGCAGTAGCTGAACCGACTATCTCTGATAACGAGCCTAAAAAATATTGGACCATTTGTGCTATACTATCTTATTCTTTGGCATCTTGGGGGCGGAGGTCACGCCAAAGAACCCAACCCAAACAATATTTTTGTGATCAAATTATGTAACGGTTCAAGTGGAAAGCGAAAGGTTGTTTATTAGTTTTCAGTATCTCTATAGATAAACATAGTTTACTGATCTCCAGATTGAAAACTATATTTAAATAAAATATTTGTAGGTTACAATGAAAAGAAGCTTTTCACGTAGTTTTAAGGGAATTTTAATGATTTGATAAAAAGGGGTCTGGTCCACGGACTATAAAGCATAATTAATCTTATAGGCTTAAAAATATCGGAATAAAGGTATTTGTACTATATTTAATTACTTACTTCTTTCATTCGCAACTAATTTACGTAACAATTTGAGGATGAATAAAGTATCTGATCGAGAGTAGGGGCAACAAGTGAGAAAGCGTAAGACTTTGGTATACGCATCGAAACATATATATTCATACATACGCCCTACGAAATATAACCTCGGGGAAAAAAATATATATATATAAATAAAATGAATTTTGGTGACCGATGAAAAAAAAATTATTATTTTTTTTTTTAGATCTTGTTTATTGATAAATACTACAATTTGTATCAAAGGACATTTATAATAGTGTTCATAGATCACATTCACACTCTATGTACAAGAAATAAAAATAACTATTTAATGAAAAAAAATATTATTTCACCGAGGGGAAAACATATGACCGGTGAATAAAATTCCGAACATTTTCGTAAAAAAAAAAAAAAATACAAAGTTAAGATGCGATAAGATGAAATCATTTACGAAGTTTTAGACGGAAGTTAATAATTTAATAAAAACGTGTCTGTACCGCGGAATAACAAGTACGCTTAGCTTATTTTTTTAAATAATACCAAATTTTATTCCAATTAAATTAATTTATTAATCATATTTACCTAAATATTTATAATTCACTATAGTAAAATGATTATGGGGTTAATTTTACATCCCAGAATTGATATATGATCTAACGAGCGATCGAACGTAGACTACTTCGAGATTAAATCGCCGATGATGAGCTTTTGTTTATTCAGAAGTTTCGGTATCCAGTAAAACACTTTAAGAACTCCCTGTTGTCTTAGTTTGCGCCGTATTACATTTGGCGGTTTACCTTAAGCTAGTACAGAGCTAAAATTATTGATTACAGACATTTAAAATAATAAATTATCATTTCTAATTTAGGTATGAATAAAATTTACTTACGAGAAGAGCAGGATGGGGAATAGTTACGACTTCTTCGCCCGTCAGTCCTTCAGATCTGGATTCCTGGAAGATCCATGCAGTCCTCTGGTTGAAGGACACTGTGTCCTCTGAGGGGTCGTCTTCTAATTTCACCTTCTCCTTCCATTCGCTAGTAAAATATAGCATTTCCAAGTCAATTTCAACCTTTTCCAAGTCAAATTCAACCTTTTCCAAGTCAAATTAAACTTTTTCCAAGTCAAATTCAACCTTTTCCATTTCAAATTAAACCTTTTCCATTTCAAATTCAACCTTTTTTTATTTATTTAATTATCTTTAATTTTTCGATGTGTGGGTCTGTTATCGTATGAGTAGTTTTTGAAAATAACCTCCTTTTTAAGATTACGTGACTGAGTTTCGAATTATTTAATTTTTTTTGAATTATTCGATATAAGGGTGTATTTTTATGTTTCCCGATCAGTAAATTTTGATGTTTACGCCACTGTGTTTTGATTTATTTAAGTTTTTAGAATTTATCCAATATAAAGGTCTACTTTTAAGTTTCTGGAGCCGTAGATTTTGAAAACGACCTCCATTTTAAGATTAGGCCACCGCGTTTCGACTTATTTGAGTTTTTCGGATATTTTTCATATGAGGGTGTATTTTTATGTTTCCGGAGCTGTAGATTTTGAAAATGACCTCCATTTTAAGATTAGGCCACCGCGTTTCGACTTATTATAGAGCTTTTTCGGATATTTTTCATATGAGGGTGTATTTTTATGTTTCCGGAGCTGTAGATTTTGAAAATGACCTCCATTTCATGATTACGCCATTGGATTTTGACTTATTTAAGTTTTTCGAATTTAGCCAATTTAAAGGTCTACTTTTATGTTTTCGGAACCGTAGATTCTGAAAATGACCTCTATTTTATGATTACGCCACTGCGTTTCAACTTATTTAAGTTTTTAGAATTTAACAAGTATAAAGGTCTAATTTTATGTTTCTGGAGCAGCAGATTTCCCCATTTTGTAAATGACCCAATTTCAAGTTTATGCCACTGTGTTTTGGATTATAAAAGTTTTTTTTTTTTAATTTTTCGGTATAAAAATCTACTTATGTTATCCGAGACGCATTGAAATTTTTCTAATCTTTAATATTTAAATTTATCTAATATTTAAGCTCCATTTTATGATTAAGCCGCTGCATTTCGAATAATTAGGCTTCATTTTGGATTTTTACAATACAAAGTTCCATCAATATGTTTTCGAGTATGAATAAATAAATAAATATTATGAAGCTAAAGTTAAATTGACCACAGAATACAAACTAAAAAGCCGAAAAGCAGCTGGTAATAAATTTAACCTTCCGTATTCAGATTTTTCAGCTAATTGTTCGAAATCTTATAATTTTGTGACAGGAGACCACAACATTAAAAAAGATAACTAAAATTAAATTAAAAATGAGACAATACATATTTTATTTATTTTGATTAGATATTTTTATTTATTTATTGAAAAATAAATTAATCCTTCATATTTTGTTTTTTATTCGAAGGAAAAATCAAAAACACTTAAAAACACCGAAACACAGTGGCCTAATCTTAAAATGTAAATCGTTTTAAAAACTAAGGCTCCGGCATCATCAAAGTAGACCTTTAAATTGGATAAATTCGAAAAACTTGAATAAGCCGAAACGCAGTGGGGTAATCTTAAAATGGAGGTCATTTTCACAATCTATGACTCCGGAAACATAAGAATACACTCTTCTATGATAAAAATTCGAAATACTTAAAGAAATCGAAATGCGGTGGCCTAATCTTAAAATGGAGGTCGTTTTCAAAATCTACGGCTCTGGGAACATAAAAATACACCCTCATATGAAAAATATCCGAAAAACTCAAATAAATCGAAACGCGGTGGCCTAATCTTAAAATGGAGGTCGTTTTCAAAATCTATGGCTCCAGAAACATAAAAGTAGACCTTTATATTTAATAAATTTTAAAAAATTAAATAAGTCAAAACACAGTGGCGTAAACATAAAATGGATGTCATTTTCAAAATTTACTGATTGGGAAACATAAAAATACATCCTTATATCTGTACCTTATATCGAATAAGTCAAAAAAACTTAAATGATTCGAAACTCAGTCACGTAATCTTAAAATGTAATCTTCAAAACTAGGTACAGGACAGCATAATACTAGTCCCTAATAAATCCGAATAGGTACAATAAATGGATATCCGTAAGTGAAAATTCTACTTAGAAGAGCATAATAATAGACTTTCATATTGGAGGGGGGAGGGGATGGCCATTATTAAAAAAAAATATAAGATTTACAAAAAATTAAAACATTAATTTGAAATGAAAACGGTTGAATTTGAATTGGAAAAGGTTGAATTTGACTTGGAAATGGTTGAATTTGACTTGAAAAAAGTTTAATTTGATCTGGAAAAGGTTGAATTTGACTTGGAAAAGGTTGAATTTGACTTGGAAATGACATAGAAATATCACACTGAAAAAATCTAAAATGTTAAAATAAATGGATATGCAACCGCGTTATCAATTTTTTTTTTGTATTTTTCAAAAGCTATACCTTCGTTAATATAGTAAGTGGCCTTCATTTCGAAAAAAATCGAAAATTGACAAAAATTCGAAAGTTGAATTTGAAATGGAAAAGGTTGAATTTGACTTGGAAAAGGTTTAATTTGAAATGGAAAAGGTTTAATTTGACTTGGAAAAGGTTGAATTTGATTTGGAAAAGGTTGAAATTGACTTGGAAATGCTATATTTAGTTGAGTATCCGTTTTAAGAATAACAAGATTTATTGATTTAGAAGATATATTTTTTTATTTGTTAGTTCAAGTAGTGTTTAATTAAAAAATAAAGGAAAATCAAACTTGAAGGCAAAACAAAGAATATCATATTTTCCAATCGTTTATATGTTGATGTGGATGATATTTTTTTAATATAATGAGGTGAAAAGCCAAGAGAAGCAAGTTACAGGTTTATCGTTTTAAGAAATTTTAGATTTTTTTTTTTTTCATATCTCCATCTTCACCTGTCATGAGAGACTAAAAATAAGCAAATTTGATGGGATTATAGATGATAATGGTATTACAGACATAAGAAAGGTTAGTACACAGCATGCCAACGGTAGCCATGTAGGATATAAGTCTGTTATTGTATCCTAGTAGTTTAATATGAAATGTATATAATTATATCATACTTATATTATAGATATACTGCATATAGAAAACGTTGGGGCATGGGTTTCAGAGTACCCGGTTCAGTATGTTGTTGGTTCGATTCCGAGCTTGTTCGGTTAATTTATATTTCTCAGGGGACACGAGAAATAAATCTTGATGCTCCCAATCTAGTGAGTACGTGGCAGGAACCATATTGGTGCTAAGCCAATCGATAAGGATTTTTTCTGTTATTATTATCGATAAGAGCCCCAACCAATCTACATGACATAATGTAATTTAGTGTAATTTAAATGTAAATTAATTAGTTAAATCAAATAAAAACTTTAAAAAATGGTAAACAATTGAGATTTTGCAATTAAGGAAATTGTCAATATTACTTACCATCGGTATCTATTGCAACATTCAATTCAAACTTTTTAAAGCGTGCTAAAATATTTATTTGAAAAAAACAGCCAACTAATTTAAAACATGTTGTTTTTTTGTGAAATCAATATGTACAGTGTCATCTGTACCCATTAACAACTAAACAAAACGCTGTGTTTCAGAAATTCGATTATAAGTTTGTTTCAACAAACCTATTTACTACTTGTAAACTATAAGCCGCACGCACAATACTGGTTTTCTTTTTTAGGCGCATGCGAAGTACAGGCTTACGAACGGAAAACCTTTATTGAGCATGCGGCTTACAGACAAAAATAGTGTTGGAAGTATACCTGTTATCATAACTTCATTTCACCGAGCAAAATATACATTTACCTGTGCCGTTAAATTAATTATTCAAAATCGCTCTTGATTCAATTACTGGAAAAACAAATTATACCACCTTCGCTTCTCACCCATTAAATCTACGTTATTGTATTGGTATTGTATAATACTAAATAGTCTAAACCTTTCAATATTTAAAATGTAATACTCACTCGAAGAAGTACGGCCCAACTTCTTGAAGCTTGGGTTTCTGCCCAGTATGAACTTCCTGTGGATTGGTCACGTTGAATAAGAATATCCTAAACTCGACAGGGATTGGAAATTTCGACCATGCGGCTCGCATGTCGTTGCCTTTCTTAAGCGCCACATTCTGAAAAAAAATGTATTATATTGTAATTTATAATAATTCACGTAGAATTATAAATTTGTTATGTATGAAAAATCTATGACTAACTCAGAAATATCTATGAATAACAACAGGTGTTCAGGTGTTCAATCCAAAAATTAAACATTAATAAATATAATTTTAATAAATTATATTTATTAATTTTTACATTTTTTTGACTGAACACCTCAACCACAATTCTCTTCAATTACTGACTACAGCCAACCATCAATTCACAATTAGGTATGAAACATACGAAGGATGGATATATAAATATAGACAACGGAATGAAACTATAAGCTTATACCTACACACTCTTCAATAAATGTTCTCAAACCGTTAATATTGATTTTGGAATAGAAATTGTCAGGTTATTTTAATTATGGAAAAATAATATTATACGGCGAGTAATCAAAGATACGTTAAAAAAATCAATACAACACTGATAAAGAAGGCAGAGCCCTACTAGTAAATGAATACAAAACAAAATATATGACAATAAGCCGAAAGTTCGAACACGATAACAATATCTGCGTGGAAGGAAAATAATTCCCGAGAGTAGACAAATTTAAATACCTCGGCTCCACAACAACCGCAATGAATGACGATCGGGCAGGAATAGACCAGCGTATAACTAGCGCAAAACAGAGCTTTCTTCTCCCTCTCAAAGGTATTGAAATCCCAAGAAATCTCAAATTAAGGGTGCACAATGCTATAATAAAGCCAGGTCTTATATATTCTAATAGACATTAACCAGCACCCTAGAAACAAGTGTTGAAAGATTTGAGAGGAAAATCCTTCGCACGATAACCGGATCGATCTGGGATCAGAGTACTAACATATGGAGAAGAAAGACATATTAAGAACTGCTTACATAGACTGGTCAATCGATATCCCATTATATGACGGCACAATTATGGTGGGTAGGGCATGTAGATCGTAGCAATCCTTCTGGAAGTCTCTACGTAACAATGACGTACCTCAATAGAGAGCATAACACCACGTGGAAGGCCAAAAAGCAGATGACTTGATCAACAAAGATGTAATAGAGCTGCATGCAGATAAATGGAAAGAAATAGTCTAAGACAGGTAGAGATGGAACAGGCTTGTTAAGGCGGAAAAAGATTTACATGGCCAATATATATATGTATATATAATATACCGGAAGAATTTATTTAAACTACTAGGTTTATTTTTCAATAGAATGCTTTACAAAACATTTTAATGACAATAAAACTAATTTTAGAATATTTTTTCAACCATACCCAAGTAATTGCAGTACGCTTAATACAATTTTCACATTAAAGATCATTTTAAAAAGAAAACGTTATTGAAAACAATAATAGGACTGTTATATTTTCGGAGAATATTCTATATTTAACAAGTATTTAGCAAGACAAATATTTTTCTTCATTTTTTTTTAAATTTTCTGTATGTTTTTCATTTTTATGCCTGGAGCTCTAAAGAATTGTGCAACATTCTGTTTATTCGTCTAGTTTCAGAACGAGATTTAATAACTAACCGATACCAGTTAATTTTTTGTTTAGTATTTTGATAGATGAATTGCGGACTCTTTATTTTAATTTTGCTATGGAATGATTGATGGATTGTATTCATATACTGAAGTTGAAAGGAAATAATTTAACTGTCAACTTCAGTATTGACAATAAAACATGTAATGACATTCAATATTTCAAAAGTATTTTTAATTTTCTCATACGTATTACTGATTATTTGATCAGTTATTTCATCCACAATGAGAAAATGTAACTACTAACTACTATCATAATCAAATATCACGTCTTGATGTTTTATCACCATATAACTCATATTGCTGACATGAGTACTTTTATACCAAGTTGCAGGCCAGGAATCGATGACAAAATATAAAGAATATGTAATATTCTTGAAATCAATATTATTCACTCAGTATTTGATCTTCTTGATTCATTATTGTTTGTGTTTGTTTAAATCTCATTACAAGACATGTTGTTAAGAAGAAAGTATACTTAACTTCAGTTCTAATTGAACTTATGCTTCTGGCCAAATTTGAAGAGTCAGAGAGGGCGCCTATTAAAATTTCGCTAAGGACGCCTAAAACCTATATGAAGATCATCGATATTAAAACTTATTTGCTTAAAAAAAAGTTTTAGAACATTTTTTTCACTACAAAACGTAAACCATCTTTTGTAACTATTGCTTTAAAGTATTTTTCTATGAATTAATTATATTTATTAAAAAAAATAATTAATTTGTTGTTAAGTTTTAGGTGAGACGTAGGTCTTCGAAAACATGACAGTTTCATTTGCTAAAATTATTAACAAAAATGTAAAATTATTACACTAGAGTTATAAAATAAATATGAAGTGATAAACAAAATGAAGGCATCTGAAAAAAAAAATACAGATGTAATGAAATGAAGAAAAAACGAAGGAGATATCGTCGGCAATACATTAAAGTAACGGATGTGGATTTATTTAATGTTGAAACATTCGTTACATTAACATTGTACCGACGATATAACGATGAAAGTATAATGATGATTATGATGCTTTAAAATTTTTATAAATACAAGTAAGGAATGAAGAAAGAAACGCTTGTCTTATTCAATTCAAATCTATTCGATTCTGGGATTTTTAACTAAAATAAAATATATTTTACATTTGCTATTTTAAGGTTAAACTAGGATTAAACCGAACCAATGTCAGTTTTAAATCAGTAAATATTCTTTAAAGGTTCAGATAAAATCCGATTTAAAATTGAACAATTATCCCGTCTCAGTTTTATTTGTTTTGAAACGGAATGAATCTGCTGAGATAAACTCATGGTGGTGATAAATCCGTGCATTGAGACCGACGGATCGTGTGGGCGTTATATTCGTTTTCGAATAAGCTTACAGAATTTATTAGATTAAATAAAACAATATATGTATATTTTTTATTATAAGGAAAACATCTTAAAATAAACACGGTTTAAATAAAAATACACTCCTGAATGATTCTGCCTCAACATCAATTGGCTATGAGGAAATATAAATACAACTGAAAACTGCTTTAAATGCTTAAAACACTTGTTTTGTTTTTTTTATAATAATTTCCAAAAGCTTGGACTAAGTTAATGTAAAAGAAAACAACTAAGGTGTGTGCTTTAGACTACATGATAAAAGTGAAAGCATCAACAAGGTGAGATTGATAATATGTAACATAAATTATAAATAATAGTTCATTATAAAGAGGATGAAATGGTGAACATTTCCCTTGCTTACAGTATGCAGGTCCGATATTTAGTTTCTGAGATATTTTAATCAATAGCTTTAATAAAACTCGTTATTAGTTGGTTTTAGACACTATTTTTTCCCTTTTCTCCTCTTAAACATGGCGTCGCGTTAAGATAAAATTTTGAATAATATCTCATTAGAAAGATGATAAAAAAATGAACATTTTCCTTGCTGACGATTTGCAGATTCGAGTTTTAATTTTTTTAGATATTTTAATACTTATGCAAAAACACTTCAAATAGTCAACTCCAGCTGAATTTACCCGAGCGTTACATGTCGAAAATCTGACGGCTCCATCTATTTAACTCTTCACAAAAAAAAGTGCAAAACCTGAGTAAAAAAGATTTCAATTCAACAAGTAAGAAATGATAAAATAACATATTTAAAGTTTTAAATTGATGTATGTGAATATACAAACAGCATACAAATTGAAAGATACAGTGTGAAATTCAATTCAATTCGTTACTAACTCTGTTGGTTCTTAATATAAAATATTTATTGATAATTCTCATAAAGAAGGCCCTTAAAATTAACATAAAGAAATAAGATATTTTTATAATAATTTAAATTATTTATTGATGGAAAATGTGAAATAAAAACTAAACATTTAAAACAAAAATTAGGTAATATTTTGTTCTTTCTTACAATTTGCTAAAATACAAACGGTAAATGTGAACATAACAGCAATAATGACATTAACAGACTTGCAAGATAATACTAAATGGTAGCAAGCACTAAATAGTTCTAAGGAGATCACGGGGCCATCTTTTTTTCGGACGACTAGAGGGATCGAGGAGGAAGCAAAGTTAGAACAGGTGAGTTTAGATCGGTCTGAATTTTTACATGAAAGAATACCTATATGAATCGGGCAGGAAATAAATCATTGAAAAACGAGATACATTATATGTAGAAACATATTTAATTAAATTTCATATTACGTTGTAATCAGGGGACTGACCGATTCCATTGAATCGCTAACCTTGTACGATAATTAGTACTTTCATTGTTCGTTAGACAACTACTATATAGATGGCTCTTTTCAGTGCCCAGGTCATATAACATCCTGTTTAGTTAAACACTCAGCAACCTTTTTTTTTTTTTTTTAATAAAATATAATTTATTTTCAAAAATATATTCCTTTCAGGAAAACTGTTAATATTCTGTTTTTTTTTTTAATATTTGTTTAAAGCCTTTTAAAAATACTTAAAACATGAAAAAAGTCAAAACAAATAAAAACATTAATGGCTGATTTTATTTTAATGATAAATTATAACCTTAATTGCACTCTATTGATCACTTAAGTATCTTTAAAATTATACTTTTTATAATTAATTTCTGTACTTTTTTAAAAAATGAATTGGCCTTCAGAATAATATAACATTAAATGGAAATATTCGGGCTTTCATTTTTAAATTTAACATTAGTAAAACATCTAATACTTCTTTGACGGTATTGTTTTAGAATAAGGATAATATATTTATTTTATCATTAAATAGACTAAGTTAATATAATATATTTAGTTTTCCGTTTAATATAATATATAAGATAATTTTTGCCGATAAAAAGGGGTCTATACATTATCTATGTATCTCTTCAGTTCTGCAATAGGAGAAATAAGGTCACAATAATAATTAGTTATTTGAAATGCAGAAATCGATGTAGTCTTAAATATTCAAATGCCACTTATTCAGTAACATTTTCTAAAATA